CCTTTGGCCTGTTGTGTCGCGTGTTGTGCCACGGTTTTGAATTTTTACTCCCAGCAGTTTCACTTCAAAAACGTTAGTAACCTATTAGGTCCTTCAAAAACGTTAGTAAGCTACTAGTCAATTACAGAACTGAAATAATTTGGAATGAAATAAATCATTCTAATTATTTGATAAATATATTAATAACTTATAATATATGTGGATATATCTATACTGTTTTATTCATCAGTTGGACTTTCTTTCGTATTGAATTATATATTTGTATTGGAATTGAATGCCTTTTACAGTAGGCATTGTATTAAATCCATAGATTAATAAATCAATAAAAAGCAAATTGTTTTGACCCGCTTACTTGCTATTACATAATATAAATAATTAAAAAATACCAAAGCTTTTACTGAAAATACGGTTATATTTAATTTATTTTATAGAAAAATATACTCCGTTTTTTTCTAAATATTCTACCCAATGGAATTTATTTTTTATATGATGTACGATCGAAAACATAACCGGTTCCATGTTGTTTTGGAAATGGCATATACATTCGCTATTTAATATTTTATATAAAATAAGAGCAATCGTCATATCCAAGCCAACTCTAACGCCGTTTTTTATCGTGCTGTATCAGTTTATAGTTTACTTTTTATTCTATGCCACAGAAAAAAAAGAAAAAAGTATTCTGGAAAGTGAATAAACTTTCGATGTACTTAAACAGCCGTTAAACGGTAGCCTACTAAAATGCTGTTAATAGATATTGTGACGTCGTTCATGTCGGCGGAAAGTAATGCCTAGCCTTAAGCATTTTGCAAGAGCACCTGTGGGTCAGTGGCTGAGGCTATCGCTTCGTAAGCTGGTTAGTCCTTATAAAATTCCTAATTCTATTTCATAAAGCCGTCAAGTGTGTCACATCAACGACGTCATACCTATTAACGGCATTTTAGTAAGCTACCGTTTAACGGCAGTTTAAGTACAGCCATAAACTTTCCCTTTAACCCTTTCTTTTAATAAAACTGGTTTTTATTTCTTTTCATAAAATTAATCATATATGGTTGTTTCCTTCGGTCTGATGAACTTAATGCAGAAACTCGCACACTTGTAGGGGTTAAGGCCTTTTAACTTCTCTGTATACTATTAATCATAAATTTGTCTTATAAATTACAAAGCTCCTAATCCCCTGTTTTAATTTATTTTTTTAATATAACATAAGGATGTATGTAATAGCAAATCGCTATTATTCTATAATTTCCATAGAATTCGTTTATAAATAAATATATTACTAAACATTATGACCAAATCGCTATTCTACAATGCGCGAAACAAAACAAAAAAAAGAAGTCACTCAGAGAATCTCACCAACCCAAGCCAAAAAGAGGTCGGTCAAGTTTACCCCCCGTATTAGACGAAATTCAAAAATAGATATACCACTATTTTGCACACATTTTGCACACCGTAAATGATATTTTGCACACTTATCTAAGAGAAACCAGAGCCGTTTCTTAAACGGGGGGCAAACTTGACTGTTCCCCCAATCTGTTACGAAATTGATTTTTTTCTATGTACATCGATTCGACTAATTTTGCACAATTTTGCACATCTATTTTTAAATTTTGCACACCCTCTTGACGAAAGTTATAAAGGTTTGAAAATTTGAAATTTCCCCCCCCCCCCATCTGTGGCTAAATTGAATTTTGTTTATATCAAACGAATTAGATAATTTTGCACAATTTTGCACATCTGTTTTTGAATTTTGCACACCATCTTGATTAAAGTTATGAAGGTTTAAAAATTTGCAATTTCCCCCCCATCAGCTACGAAATTGAATTTTGTTTATATCAAACGAATCGGCTAATTTTGCACAATTTTGCACATCTATTTTCGAATTTTGCACACTCTCATGACAAAAGTTAAAAGGGTTTGAATATTTGAAATTTGTCCCATTGTGTGTGAAGTATTCTATAAAAAAAACAAGTATGAGTCATATTTCGAAAATTCAGCGACGTGAAACACTGTATACGGAACTTACCTTTTCGATAATTTATAGCTTGCAAAGAAGAACATTTATGAAACTAAAGATTCAATACACAGATTTGTCCTAGCCCTCTTATTTCTTGAAATACCGGTCAAATTTGAAAATTTTGCATTTTTCGACACCCCCCATATCTCGGTTATTCTTGGTTATTCTATAACTTATCGAAAAGGTGAAGTCTGAGTTCCGTACAGCTTTTCACGTCGCTGAGATATATCATTTTCGAAATATGACTCATACCTTTGTATAAAGGCTCATACTTATGTTTCTTTATGGAACACTTCACACACAATGGGACAAATTTCAAATATTCAAACCCTTATAACTTTTGTCAGGAGAGTGTCCAAAATTCGAAAACAGCTGTGCAAAATTGTGCAAAATTAGCCGATTCGTTTGATATAAACAAAAATCAACTTCGTAACTGATGGGGGGGGGGGGAATTGCAAATTTTCAAACCCTCCTAACTTTAATCAGAATGGTGTGCAAAATTCAAAGACAGTTGTGCAAAATTATCCGATTCGTTTGATATAAACAAAATTCAATTTACAGATGGGGGGGAAATTTCAAATTTTTAACCCTTCATTACTTTCGTCAGGAGGGTGTGCAAAATTTAAAAATAGGTGTGCAAAATTAGCCGAATCGATGTACATAGAAATAAATCAATTTGGTAACAGATGGGGAGAACGGTCAAGTTTGCCTCCCGTTTAAAAAACGGCTCTGGTTTCTCTTAGGTAAGTGTGCAAAATATCATTTATGATGTGCAAAATTATGCGAAATGTGTGCAAAATAATGGTATATCTATTTTTGAATTTCCTCTAGTACGGGGGGCAAACTTGACCGACCCGCCAAAAAGTATCGTCTGGGAACGCCTAAAGGCGGGTTCTCACTTGTCAGTTTCGCTGACGCAGTCTGACTGATTCATTATCAATGAAAAATAAAAAACAACGATTGTATTCACACGTTTCATGTTTTGCTACATTCAGTATTCAGTTGGTCCAAACATTCTAATGTGGTGATTTCGTATAGACATGAAAATGGTTAAAACAAAATTGAAACCAGGTGTTCGCGAAGTTTGTTTACAATTAGCAAATGAATTACAGAATATTCTGGTGAATCAGAAAAGAAAAAAAAAACGTCATAGGTGGTCAGGTCCTGGATATTGCGAAGAAATAAACGGGGTACTAGTGAAACTATATTAAAAGAATTAATTAACTTAACTTGTAAACTGCACAAATCACGAAAATGTAGTTCTCACGCTTCAGTTTCTATTCATTATTCGATAATGATCAGTCAAAATGAAAAAAAGTAGAACTGGTTTTCACTTTAACTGAAAGTACGAATGTACTGATCATTTAACATGAAAATGTGTTCTGACGTTCATTGTTTGTTCAGTGTCACTGAATCAGTCAGACTGCGTCAGCGAAACTGACAAGTGAGAACCCGCCTTAAGTGAACTAGGAGCTCTGGCAGAAGGTTCAAGTTTTTAAGTTTCATCTTAAAATAAAATTTTAATCAATCTCAATTGTTTATTTCCGTCATTTATTGGATTAATAACACAGAAACTACGGCTCAATTATAAACAATTCATTATTTATAATGATTTACAGTAATTTTATTAAATTATACAAATGTTCTCGTTGATTATAGTGGTTTGAAATAAATATGACTCCAATGAGAATGCGAGTTACTAACTCTAAATTCTAATTCTGAGCTGGCAAATGAGCTAGATGATTTACCTAGACCACAGAATATCTAGCTAGATATTCTGTGCCTAGACCGTTATTCAGAAGTCAGAAGCTACAAACCTATTTATGAAAATATGCATGAAAGCAAGGTTGGTACAGTTTCAAGTTTATTATAGTAATTATCTTAGCTGCGTATGGCACAGATCGTTACCCAGTGTTGCCACAAGCTTATTTTTCATCGGGGTAGATTATCATGGGATAACGGGGTTAAATTGTTTTACAAAGGAGTAAATTTTACAAGGTGTGTCACGGCCTTTGAATTTTTACTCCCAAAGCAACGCGCGTAAAGTTTCACTTCAAAAAATAATATAAAATTCCTACTAAAATACTTTTTTTTGGGAAAACAAAACACAATAATTCACTACAATACACCAAAAACTTTACTTTTAACACCGGACGCAGGTTTTGTTAGTCGTAGCACAGATCATACAGATTATAAACTTTGTTTTTTCTTTATAGTTTTTCGTGATTCCAATTTTCGGAATCGGGCACTAGTTAGGATACTAGTTTGCGCACATAGCACGCCCACTTATGGCCTCTAAAATTGTGCACAGCGCCTGACCGGCACCTTATCATGGTTACGATATGCGCGAGTCAATTTTTAACGCAACACCCGCTAATAACGTTACCGCCTGACGTAATTTGCGGATTAATTATATCAAGCGCTATTTCTAAATAACGTTCAAAAATTGTTTAAATGGGCATGTGCGGGTACATTTGACAACCGGGGCCGGCCGGCGAGCGGCGAGATCTTTTATTTTAGATTATGTTTCAATTGTTTTAAAATATTACTTTAGTTTTATTAGGTAATTTGATATTTAAGTAGCTGGTATAAGTTTTAATTAAATAAATATGGCCCAAAATATGGATTCCACCTCTTCCATTATTAAAGAACCTATAAAGAGGCTTAGGTTTAGTGGAAGGTGTCCTAAAATGACATACTTTTTATTTCAGACCTGTTTTTGCAGAAGCCATTCGAAATATCGAACTGGGAAAAAAGTTACCCATTCTTTTGAATAATCTTTATTGATAAACTGAACGAAAATATTCCATCTCTATAAAAATCTTGTGAAAATATAAAATTAAGAAAACGTTACACTATGTCATTTTACAACAAGTATGTATGTAAAATGACACATGCATGAGGTTTAAAATGACATATGCTTATAACAAATGATAATAACAACATAACAAAAAAATAAGGAAAAAGAAAGTAATTAAACAAAAAGTTAATCTTGGCAAACTTCACAAATGAACTTCTTTTGTTTCGGGGACACTCCGGCACATTCACAATGTGCCCAATTCCTGCATTTCATACAACTAATCCAGGCCTCCCTGGACCGCGAATTTCTAAACAAATCATTGCAGTAAAGACACGCTACATCATCCTCACTGTCCTCGGTTGCAAGCGGATCTTCTTCATCAGTTTCTGTTTGTGTAATGGAACATGACTGACTTAAAATGTTTCTTTTGCATTGACGAACATTTCCCCGTATTTTCTTTTCTTCTTTCTTCTTCAGTTCTTCTAAATTAGGAGTAATTGTTAAAACTCCGGTTAATGTTTTCCTAGTCATCCTTTTTCTAGTGCCACTTGCTTTAGGCACTGGAGAAATTTCCTGCAGGGTAATTATTTTTTTTAAAGGTGGATTATTTTCCTCGTCTTCTCTAGCGTCAATTTTTTCATTGCTAATTTCATCTTGATCTTGTTGCATCGTTTCTTTCAGAACATCACTGTCTTCTATTTCATTGCTGACTGATGTTTCTGGCCGATTAAATTTTCTTCTTCTATGTTGCTTGGCTCCAGCAACCTATCTGTGGTCTCAGCTGCCTCGAAGAAATCATCTGGGAAGATATTTTGGTTGAATGGACAAATGTCCGTTTTCAAAAATCCGCTTGTAGCGTTTCTTATCGTTGCTGCTTTTCCATAAGCAGAAGTGAACAGTTCGCCGATTTGATTCTGTGTAATTACACGTCCTGGATGATTTTTCAGCCAGATTGCATATTCCTGATTATAAAATGTCTTCAGAGGACCATAAAAACAGACATCGAGCGGCTGCATACGATGTGTGCAATGCGCAGGAAAGCACAACATAATTAATCCATTGTTTTGGCAAATGTCAATGCGTTTAGTGATTTATAGCTGGAGTGCCCATCCAAAAGTAACAAAACTTTTGATTCGAGAGAAGCCAAAGTTCTGAAAATGCTTCAGCCACAAAACAAAGGTATCAGCTGTCATCCATCCAGATTCGTGAAATAATCCTAAGGACCCTGGAGGTAAAGCATCTAGAAGCTCCTCCTTTCTATTTTTCCTGGGAAAAATCAGAGCTGGCGGCACAAAATTTCCTATACCATTCATGCAGCAGACACATGTTATATGTTGACCTCTCTCAGCGCTAGTTATCGACCCAACTTGTTTCTTTCCCGTTTTCGCAAAAATTTTTGGAGGCCTCTGCACTGTGGATAGACTACTTTCGTCCATATTATAAATGCGGTCGACATCAATTTTCTCCTTTTCCAGTGTCATTTCAAGGATATTAAAAACATTTTGTATTTGTGGCCTATTAAATGCCATAGCTCTAGCAGCAGACACAGCTTCAGGCTGCCGTAGGGATATTTCAGGATGTCGACTACGAAATCCTCTCAACCACTTTCGGCCAGCGCTGCCCTCTTTCGTAAATCTATTTGGAATGTGATTTTTAGTAGCAAATTCAAACGCAAGTTTTTTATATCTGTAGTAGTAATCCCAAATGATCTAGACTCTAGTAACAATATATGCTCAACAAAGTCTCTTTCTTCAGCCTCACTAAATGTGGTTGAAAATCGCCACAAAACTTTTACACAACCTTTGGCTCGTTTGTTAACATCATTTGCTCTTCGCAGTAACGTGGCCTGAGGGACATTAAAGAGTTTGGCTGCTCTCGGTTGAGAGCAAATGGGATGGTTATCCCATTTGACCAGATTTAACAGCATCAATAGCATTTCACATTGATTTTTCGTCCCAGGACTGTCTGCTTGATGTCCTTTCCCGTTTACCCACCATAGTGTCACTAAATAAAAATAAATAATGAGACCATTTTAAATTCAAATTGATTTACGCAGTGTGGTTGTAAAATGGCATGTGTCATTCTACATTCATGCATACCTATGTCATTTTACTCACAATAACACGTGGTCTCTGTTTTTACCTGATTTTTTTTATCTCATCTAGAACGACAATTCTACGTATGTACATCTATAGTACACACTTATAGTTACATTTTATTGGTATGTCACCTTAAAACAAACACTATTTGGTAATGAAAACACACTTGCAGCACAGCACGTTAAAAGATTGTATGCTAGTAAAAACAATTATTTGAGGTTAACTGCTTCTTGGGATAACCGAAAACCAAACTGAGCGCCAACGTGAAGTTTGATTGCGTTTTGCTACATAAAACCGCATCTATATGCTAGATGGCACCAGTAGTTCGAAAATAATGGGCGGTATGTCATTTTACATGCTATGTCATTTTAGGACACTTTCCCCTACAGCAGATGACGACTTAGCCCTTCTAAGAGAATTTGTTGCTTGTTGCCCTAAACCCACTGTCAGACGTTGAACAATGAAGCACTGGAAATAAGCCCTTTAGTTTTAAAATACCGAGTAAAATACCTAGTAAACAAAACAATTTCAAAGTTTTAAATTCAAAGTTAGGTTAAGTTTAAATAGCGGACGCGACGAGAACAGAATTCTTTCCGATCCGATAACTATAAATGAAGAGAGTACCACCTCACGTAAAGGAATTAACACACTTATTAACGTCCATGCACGCTATTCGGTTTAGCGATATCTCTCTATTACGCTGTTTATTGTTATTTTACGCGAATTTATTTCTGCGCACAGGAAATTTTACTCGTTTGCACATCGTCATAAAAAAACATTTTTCGTGCCACGAATTAGGGATAAGATTTTTATCTGTATACATATAGTATACCTAATTTGTGGTCGTAGCATCACATGTTGAGAGCCATTGACTTGAAACAAAACGCTACCTAATCTTAAAACGGTCAGTTTGAATCATTTGTTGTGATCAACTTGTGATGGTACTAACATGGTTAACGAAACACGCGTCCACTGATAAATAATAAAGCGTTTTGGTGTAATGTAATGAATTAGTGTTTTATTTTATTATTGTAACATCAAAGCACAATCAAAGGTTCTAACCCCAACTCTATTACCTACTAGCCAATGGAGGTTGCATTTCTACCACCCTTAAAATTTGATCTACTTTTAAATTTTGGATAATAACCGTCTATTTTTAAACAAAATAAAATGTTAGAAAAGAGGAACTAAAACGCTGTAAATGGAACTCGGATTCGTCCTTTAACCATAAATTTTCTTTTATTTTTTTAAAGGTCAGCCTTCCTTACTTCGCGTCAAAAAGCGAACAATTCTCGGTATTGGGTACTGCAGGTGGTAAAATTACTATCTGTACTTAAAAGGAAAGGTAGGGGCGGATTAAGATGAAAGGTAGCGTACCGAGTATTGAGTTCTATGTTGTCAGTTTTTAACCTTACCGTACTTTTGTAAAGAATTTCAGAAATTTTGTTTGAGCGCAGAGCTAAACTTTGTACTACAACATATTTTAGGAAAATGTGTTTACAAGGTGCCTCAAAAAAGTATGAGGGAGTGAAGGTTGATTTCGAAACACTGTATATTAATAATATTTTAAGACAACATAATATAGACAATATTAATAAATTTTGCTGTTAAGAATAATAACTTTTTAAAATATTATGGTGGTCTAAGCAATTGAGAAATTTATATTTTTTGATTAATTGTAATAAACATTTTGTGATGTGTGCTGTGATAATTTTTAAATGTAGTTTTGAATATTAATGTTTCGACACTGTTTTTGTTCTGACAGGATACTGATGAAGGATATAATGTTAGCCGAAACGTTTGTTTTTTAAAACCAAATAAAGATTTTAAATCAAATCAAAACCTAATTAGCGTTTTCCTGAACCTAAATCCCCAAAAAAATCAAACATAGAATAATATTTTATAGACGCAGAATTAAAACAATGAACAAATTTTGTGTTTATCAATGCCTAAAGAATACAAGGACATGTACGGGCTACAGCAGAATTTGAGATGTAGACGCCATTTTTTTAGAAGTATCGAATCAGTCATCAGCTGGTGATCAGCATATTTAAAAAATAAATATATAATAAAAAATTGTTAATTCCGCCGGTATGTATCGATGTTTTTCTATGGAATCATCGATGTTTCACACAAACACTTTGGTTTGGAGACACGTTTTTACAATATTTGAAAATTTTCTGTCTAATATTTCATGACATGATATTATGTTAACATTGTATTTTTAATAGAGTTATGTTATTCAAACGATACCTTGTTTGTAAGAAGGAATAGGTTTAGAGATAACGATTGTAACAATGTTTTCGAAAATACCGCACAAAACAAGCATAACAAACTTTGCTTTCCTAGCATCCCTAAGAGCTTGCCTTTTCGATAGACAAATGTATAAACCCTTTAAAAGCATCGTTTTCTTTGTCCGAGGATACAACAGCCATAAAATGCAGATGCACGTTAAAAGCATGCCCTGACCTTTCAAATATAAGTGCAGTTTCTTTTCTCATAATAGATCCGCTAAAATAAAAAGAAATTTGTTAAGCTATTACGACGACGAATCAATCTGTTATGTTTTTGAAAACTGAAGGAAACTAAAATTTAGCTTAATTAATCACTTATTAATTGGTGATCAATTGATTAATTATTTTAAAATTTTATGTTCCAGATAGTGAACAGTGAATAACAGATAGTGTGTATAGTGAACTTTGTATAAACTTTATTACAATGGTGATTAGTTGTTCAGCTTTCAAGTGTAAAAGCCGCCCATAGGTAAATAAACAGCCCACTCCACCTTTCTAGCGTTTTTTTTAATGAATTAGATAATTATTTTTCTGATATTATATGTCATGTACTTGATATATTAAATGATATGTACTTGATATACCGTATGATCGAATAAAAACGGCGTCAACGATGGCTATGAAATGAAGATCGCTCTCATTTTATATGTAAATTTATATGGGAAATGTCATCGATCGTCATTTCCAAGCCAACTGGACGCCGTTTTTATTCGATCATACTGTATTATATGTCATGTACTATGTGCGTCGATACTAGTTTTGTATCTTTTGTTTAACATTTTAATACGTTTTTTTCGTAATTAGTTAGTATGAGACCACCGCTTACACAATTGAAGTAGACAAAACATTTATTAAAAATATAAATATCTCTTCAAGCAGCTATGTTAAGAGAAATATGTGCCATGGCAGTCCTAGTATTTTTTAGTCATTGTTATTTATAGTGTTTAGAAATTTTTAATGGTTTTGCAGATATTTGGAAGTACCGTATGATCGGGTCCAGTTGCGAACATCGATGGCATTTCTCATATAATTTTACATATAAAATGACAGCGATCTTCATTTTATAGATCCATCGCTGACGCCATTTTTTTCTATTTTTTAAATTATCGAATAACTTTATATACAAAAAAGGGACACAAGGAAAATAATATAGATGTTCCATTTAGAAAAAGAGGAAAAATCTGTATATTTTAACAATTTTGGGCACCCTGTACAATTTTCGATTACAATATTTATAATACGTACGGACCAACTGTTGTGTGTGTTTTGGTTTGAG